TCAACGTTGAATATTGAACCGGGGTCATTTTTCAACGTTGAATATTGAGACCAAAAGTCGTTGAATTTATACCCGGGGTCATTTTTCAACAGCTTGATATTTTTTTTTCTTGCACCTGGTGACGTCAACAAGTTGAAAATTGACCCTGTTGAATATTGACCCCACCTCAAAGTTTGAACATTTTTTTAGCTGGGAAGTTGTTTTACGGGATTTATCATGCAATATCACTTTATTTATATTTTGGTTTCAATTTTTCCCTTTTCAAGAATAATAGAAATAAACATACATTATTACCCCGTGTATACATGTACATTTTGAACAGTGCACGATTTCAGTTATCTTCAAGCATGGCAACTTTATTTTTGACAATACTTTCCAAAATCCATGGCATCCATGAATAACTACAAAACAACGAATAGGGCATAAAACAAAAATCTTAAAAATCTGCAGTCTAGAAAGTAGCCCTATATATATTGATCAGGTTGGTGGAACATCCCATCTAGTCAAATTCAGTATAAAAATAACAAAATTTATAGCCTAAAAATTAGAATGAAACACATCGACGAAAACGATTCCAATGATAGGTTATGTTTGTGAAAAGAGCAATATAGCGCCCATAGCATGTAAGTAATGCTGACTTTAAATAATTTGTTGAAATCCCTGTAACAATTAACTTATTTGTCAGTAGACTGTCTTGGCTTGAAAATTGATCGCTTTCGGACCATAAACTTGAGAATGAGATTATTCTTATTCTAAAACATTCTTATTCTTTGGAATGTGGTTCCTATTTGATTACTTGTTATTTCTATTCCATTATTTGTAATTTCTATTCCAATGACAGGAAATGTGACAATATGATTCATATATCTTAAAATTTACATATTTTTTTTCTCGAAAACACGCGTTTCCTATTCAATGTCATTAACATTTAAAACAATCGGTTGCTAGTCGCTAATTTTGTCATTCCTATTCGATAATTTTATTTTTTTTTTCGATAATTATTTGGTTTATATGCAATAAAGTTGTTGTTCGAAAACATACTAGCATCCATTTCTATTGGAAAAAAAACGATTCCTATTCGATAAACTTTTCATTTTATTTACATAATTTTATCTCTCCTATGCGATGCTTTTTTATTCCTTTTCAATAATTGCCATGATTGCATTCTGGGAAATATGACAAATTAAACTAGAACTGGTTGTAAACTCAATTAAATAGGAATGTAAAGTTACACATTATTATCGAATATAAATCATTTTATCACATAGATTGACAAAATTTGAAAATTTTGGGAATAAGGCACATGTTTTCTCTCTTCAAGACTTAGAGACTATAGGGATCAGCATAAATTAAGCTGTTGCTGTTTAATATTAAATAAATGTGTTTCGTTTTATACATTGATGGAGTAATTATAGAGGATTTAGTTATTCAGAATGCTAATTTAATTATTTGATTATGTCCCGTATCAATTTTTGACAAAGGTATCCAATATGTTTTAATATAAAGCACATGTAGATCCTAATTCAAGACTTCAAGGCATTGTTACGTCTCATCAATTACGGAACATTAAAAAATATTAATACAGGTTGTAGTATTTTTTTTTCAGAAACATCAAGTCATACTCTGTATTATCTTTAATTGAGAAATCAATACTATTTCTGTTTTTACAAAAAATTATCTCCATTTTAACACTTGTTCTATGAGAAAACTAGGCAAGGGTGTTTGTCACTCACTTTAATGAAATTTTCTAAAAGGACTCCTGCAATATAGCATATGATCACAAGAAAAAAAAACATGGTCAAAATGCATTTCAGATTCTATGAACAGTAACTCAAGTCTTTATGCTGTTATATACTTAATCATGTGATCAAGTCAGAGAGCTTAGTATAAAAGGTGATATCACCCATTTGAATAAGTGCTTTCACCTATTTGAATAAGTGGTATCACCTATTCGTAAAGGTGATATAACCTATTTGAGTTTCTTACAACAGCAAATAATGAATGCTCCCTGTAATAATATAGATTACCACTGGAACCAAGAAAATTCGGACTACCCAGTTTTCATGCGTTTTCTACGATTTTCTTGTTGTTAACATGATATATAAGTGAAATAAATTAATTTGTAAGCAAAAAACAACTGCAGCTGTTCAACGGGAAAAGGTGATATCACCCATTCGAATAGGCGATATCACCAATTCGAATAAGCGATATCACCTTTTCGAATTGGTGATATCACAAATTCAAATCAAATAGGTGATATCATCTATTGGAACAGGTGATATCACTTATTCAAATAGGGGATATTACTTTTTGTAGTAAATACCAAAACGGGGCCTCATACCTATGAATTAAGTCACAGTAGTGAAAACCCAATCATAAATATGTGTTTTTATGCTGTTGAATTTTGAACCGGTTTCATGATCAAAATTCAACGACCCGGCTCAGTTTTCAACGGATCAGGGTCTAAATTCAACACCTTTAGTCTCAGTATTCAACGTTGAAAAATGACCCCCGGGTCAATTTTCAACCCGGGTCAAAATTCAACGTTACACCGGACACGAGTGGACAGACAGACGGACATGAAGCCTATAACATTATACGTCCCGCCTTAAGACGGGCGTATAAGAATACATGTATGCTGTAGATCGGCACCATGGCATATTTTGGAAAGTAGGTCACAGTTCAAAGGTCATGGGTAATGAGATCAATATTTATAGTAATTTATAAAAGCCATGATGTCATGTAATACCCCAGGTATATGCCTAAAATATCGATTTGAAATCCATATCTCTTAGTTTTTGAGGCATGGGTGTGACAGACGGACAGATAGATGAAAATACAGCTACATGTAGAAAGACAGACATCGGGTAAAGTGATCCCTATGTGCCGCTCTGATCTGCAAGGAAGATACTTAAGGAACTTTTTAAAGTTTTGTATGAGTAATTGGTGTTTAATAGGTCCAGTACAAAAAATATTTTACCTATATCAATATTAATACATGTAGCTTGTAGGTATTTGAACTTAACCAACATCAAATTCCTTGATACCGTCATATTGATGATGAACACGACAAATTTTAGTCAAAAAATGGTTAATTCGTAAATTTACAATTTGCATTAATTATTTAGATTACTACGCAAAATTGTTTAATCACGAATTATTCATTTTTTGGCCTAAATGTTGTATTCATCAGCACATGTGACTGAATCATTCGATTAGGTGCTGGTCGCCCAAGTGGCGGAAAGGTTAAAGCGACTGTTCTAAAGTCGCAAATGTAAGGAGTTGATCCATACATCGCGAGTTCGAATCCCACTGTGGGACATGGAGACCGGTCCTTCGGATGAGACCGTATATAAACCGAGGTCCCCTGTCGCAGTAGGTGCTGGCACAAAAAGATCCCTCCCTGCTCAATGGCCTCCGAGTATAGGTATATCTCTCCATCGGCAAGTGGTGGCGTCTCCATATGAGTGAAAAATTCTTATGAGGGACGTTAAACAATATACAATCAATTAATTAGGTGCTCACAATATTGCGCCGTTTTGCTTTAACCACAAAATGTAAGTAAAGCAAAAAGTTGGTTAGACCGCGGAACATAAACTGGCAAAATTGGAAATATACAGCTTACGTCATTTCTATCTGTTACAATCAAAACATTCAGTGATAGTCAACGAAATGGGCGGGTACAATTCGACGCGGACGTGTGAAAAACATTGGATTGAAATTGCAGATCGAAATTCATTTTCAATTCACCTGAGCTGTTTTCAAAGCAAAGAGTGAATGTACATGTATGATCCAAAACTCCCAAATATATATTTTTTGAAGTTCACATTAATATGAGTTTTAGCGTATACTTATAAGAACACTAAAGATCAAACAAGACAAAGATTATTTTTCAGGAAATATATGATTTTAGAAGGGGGGATTGTCGAGTCAGGTCATGGCTTAACATGACGATATATTTTATTTCTAGGATTATAAGAGTGCATGAGCTTTATACTTATTCTCACTGAAAACTGTTGGACATATATAAAAATCGTTCAACCCCCAACCCCCAACCATCACCACCAACACAAAGATAAACATATATTTACCAAACAGAAATGAAATATTTGTCCCTTAAATATTTATTCATTTATAACACTGGACAAATAAAAATTCAAACTGTACCAAAATTGAAATTATTTGTCTTTTGGGTCAATCGGTAATAATATGCCTTCTAGCGTATCTGAGGTGGATTGAAAATGAATTTTGATCTGCAATTTCAATTCGATGTTTTCCAAACTTCCGCGTCGAATTGTACACGCCCATTTCATTGTCTATCACTGAATGTTTTGATTGTAACAGATAGAAATGACGTAAGCTGTAATATTTCCAATTTTGCCAGTAAATGTTCCGCGGTCTTAAAATAGCCACCTAGGCTAGTTTTGAATAAGTACATGTATAAGCAGCTATGTAGGTAGAAATCTGTTATTCTTCAGATTAGGCCTCTGTTGTCATATTTCATGAAGACGCGTGACTATAATTTATACTTTAATGAACATAGAGAAAATGAATACTGAGATAATTGACACAATTCATGATATGTATAATATGGAGCATAGCAAAAAATCAGAGGGTCGATCAAATGCCACAAAGGAGACTCAGCATCCTCTGCCCCCAGGTCAAACTTGTCTTGTGTCCCTTGCAATGAAAGAACACAAATAAACCTAATACAATTCTTATTTTAAAAAAATAGTGTGCTTACAATAAGTATGAAAAGTTAAGTCTTCATGACTTAATGAAATATTAGATTGCTGCAAATGCCATTGAATACACAAGGAACTTGCAAAATGAAGATTTAAACATGACTGTTGATATTCTTCTTTCATAAATTGTCAATAACTTCCCTTGTGTAATTAATTGTTTATAGGTAGAGTATGCTATTGCATAAAAAGTAATATGATAAATATATCTTATCTGCTCAGTTAATTCTTTTTGCAAATAGCGTGACAGAAAAATAATTTGTCTGCAAACTGTTTTAATGACATAAGTACATCAAGTACATTTAAATTCACTAACAAGCCTTAATCACAAGACAACATTTATTAAACAAATACAATTTAGTATATCAGTTTCAAAACATTAGCAGTATGTATTAAAATATCAACACAAAACACATTTTTATATTTCAAAAAACCTTTTTAATCTGGTGGTAAATACTTATTTTCTTTATCATGTTTATTCTTCTTTCTTAGAAAATACCTCTCCAGAGATTCCAGTTCTCCTATGTGTTCATGTATTGTTGTAGAGGTCTCATTTGTAAAGTTGGAATCATTTTCATATATTTTACTTGCAATTACATTCAACTTTTTATTGTTTTCATTGTAATTTTCACTGTTCTGTTCAGATTGAAGAATTGCCATCCTTTCTAGCCCATCACTCAGCACATTTACCAGCCTCCGGCAATCATTTTCCTATTTGAAAACATAGACAATTTAACAATATGTAAAAAGAGCAAAAATGTTACAAAGTTAACTTCAAGTATTCGTACTATAATTAAAGAAATTACCTCAGGTAATTCTTTTACTGGTTTTATCAGAATGACTGAAAAAAAAGTAAAATCATTATACTCATTATACCAAATTTCTTTGATGGATTGCAATAAGAGAAAGAGACAGAAAGAGAGAAGAGAAGAGAAGGGGGAGAAGAGGAGAGAAAGATTATGGTTCTTTACAATCACCTAAAAATTCCGATTTAGTCAACCTACATGTACGACAACTGTGACCCTATCCATTCCCTAAAACTATTACAGTGAGCCATTGTTATGTACATGTACATTTACCATGTAGATTTTACATTGTATGCTTGAGTTCAGTGGCACATAAGGTAATTAACACAAAAATAAAGAACTAGAACCACAAACCATTGAAATATGCTTTAACTCATTGTTTTTTTTTCCATGATCATAGTCTTTATAGCTTGTGATATAAGCTTTTAGCTTCCCTTAACTGATTTTTAAGATATCTTTTAAACTTTAATTTTCAGATTAAGATTATATTAGCAACATAAAAGCATTGTTTTGATAAAATTTGCAAAATGTGCATCATTATTATTAGGCATTATTATGCTTCCTGTCAGTTTGTCTCTCTGTAAACCCTACCCAAATATTAACGCAATGTGTTCTAAGGATTTATATAGCATAAGCATACTATCATGCTGAAATTTGAATACTAATAGTGCATGGCTTCTATTTCTGTAGAAAATCTGATAGCGCCCATGCCAGGGAATGAACTCACAACCCCGAGATTGTCAGTCAGACACCCTACCGATAACACCACAGACGCCATTATCAATAGCATGGTACTGAATCCCCCCTCCCCTTCATTGGACTATATTTCACTGAAAATTATCTGTATATTATTCTTAATATCTGGAACATTCAAAATTAAAGCAAAGAGATTATGATGTATATGTTACACATGATGTCATAATAAGTGTGTACTAACATGAATGTAAGAGGTGATGAAAACGCTGGAAATGCAGAAAATTTTGTCATTTTTAAACAAGAGTCAGCATAATAATAACAATACTGTTGTGCTTCAGGACAATCAGTTCCATCTGTACGAGCCTCCGCCTCATTCACCATGTGTCAAACCCTGACAACTATTTAGGCAAAGTGCACGCAAAACACAACTCTATTACATAAATGTTGTTGCGTCACATCTTAATGTTGTACAAAATATGACATGCAATCATACATGTATAAACAAATATGAAAACATGAAAATGTGACCGAGAAATTATAGATGTACTTCAAAGAACCTTGAAGCAGAATTGAGGTATATATTGAAAATTATTGCAAGAAAAAATTTAAATTTTCAAGCTCCTTTTTAGACTTTTTGAATTAAATCATAAATTAAAGAGTTGTCCTTCCTGGCTGAGGATCAGATTCCCTTAAGGTCAAGAACAGTGCCAAAACCTTAGACCAAGTAACATGCAATTTGCAATTTCAAACTTAGTCCCAACCCTGACCCTAAAGCCAAAATCACAGGGTAAAGAATTTTATAATTTGGTAAAGTCCTCAGAAACATTTTAAATGAATCCAACAGTCTGTCTACAAATGTATAACTAATTAAGAATTACAATAAATACTTACATAAAAAGGTTACCTATTCATTAGCAACTCAAAAGATCTTGAAACTCATTTTTTTTAAAATTACCATTACTAAAATAATACATATATTCTATTAAAAATTAAAGTATATACAAACCTGGCTGCTCTACTTCAATTTTTTCAATTTTCTTCTGTTTTTCTAAATAAAAAAGATAAAAAAAAATATCAGCTTAAAATATCATTTTGAATTAAGGATTAACTGTCTAATTTTTTGGTGTCATGATGTGATCAATGATAATTTGCATATTAAATGCGGAAGATGTTTATGCATAAAGTTATCATGCAAGCAACTTGATTTATCATCGTCATGAAACAAAAAAATCGCAGTTATTCCTTTTATTAACATACTCTTGATTCCAAAAATTAACATGCTTCTGTTTCTATTTATCATGCCCTGCATATGATGTTCTTAACTGTCAGTGCCTATCAATGAACCAGTACATTTATGAAGAAATAAAGTATATTAAGTACATGTATGTGCAATTTTATGTCAGACAAAGACATTGGAAATGTCAATATTATTAGATGAAACTACTGTATACAGGGTTATTTTCGCCTCGTGTTATTTTCGCCCTTTTGCACTTGCCAACTACTTTGCCCCGTTTTAAATTCGCCCAGTCAAAGTTTTGTTTATGAAATTATGCTGCGTAATTTGAATTCGCACCGTTTTAAATTCGCCCAATCAGGAAGAGGGCAAAAAGGGCGAAAATAAAACAGGGGCAAAATTTTCCCTGTATACAGTTATTAGAGCAAGGCATAAAGAAAATGGAGCAAAGCCCATAAAGTTCATATGCTGAACAGACAGAGGAAACTTTTCTTCACAACAACATTTATTAGAAAAATTATCTCATCCTGAATATGATTTTTTATTATAAAATTTAAAATTTAGCAAGATAGTCTTTATACATACCAACTTCTGCAGGTTTTCCAGATGGCACTAAATTTCTCTTCTCTGAAAAAAAAATATCATTAGATTATATAAGAAGATTTTTTTCCTATATATATAAAGACTTGTCAATACATGACATCGCGATTACTTAACTTAGCAGAACTCTTTCGCGAAGGAGGTAGGAATCATCTGTTAGGTGGGGGCAATGTACGTGCTATTCAATACAACGCAAGATCTATCATTGTAGCATTTATAAGGACATATGAGTCATTATCAGAAACCGCAGAAAAAAATATTGGAAAAATCAACAAATTTCTTGCATTTAGAATTGAATTTTTTTAATCGTTACTATAAAACACATATCTGAAGAACACAAAAACACTAAACTCCCACCTGGAAATTATTTGATTTCAGTGTAAGAAGAAATCAAAATACTGGTTCACCTAAAATTTTGTCCTTCCTGTTACAGACACAATAATGCAAATTTTTCTATTAAGAGGTGGAAAAATAATTATAAAATTAGTCAAGCCTAGTTTGTGAAAGCATGACAAATAAAGAATCAGTTATAATTTTTCAATGAAACAGGAGCAAAATAATTTTTTCAATGATTTTAGAGACAATTTTCAAATCTGAACATAATTTTGGTCAATATTTTCACCATTTTTCAGTCGTAAAAGTTAGTATAAAAAAACACATTCACCCATTTGATAAGAAATGGCATTTTATGCTTGCATGTAGATCCAATCTTGTTACAATCACATATAAACTACATATTTTTCATAATTATAGTGCATGTAACAGGAAAGACAGGCCCGTAACAGGAAAGACAGTACTTTGCAATAGGCATGTCTCTCCTGTAACAGAATCCTAAATTCTAGTTTAGAAATGATTGGAAAGTAAATATTGAATCAGTTTCAGTCTGACATCTGTTAATATATCATAAAGATGTAGAGTAACTAAAGCAATTCCAGAAAAATATGACTTTGAAAGGTTTTTTGGTCTCTCAGTTAAAAAGTGTAACAGGAAAGAACAGATTATGCAACAGGAGAGAAATTTCTGTGTATCTACATCAAATTCTTTATTTTGTTAAACACATAATTTAATTAATCCTGAAAATTTACACGGGTGTTCCCAAATAATGATTAAACTTTATGTAAAAGTTAAGATAGGAACAAATAGAGTATAAAAATAATGGATATGTATGACTGTTACAGGAGAGACTTTTCCAAAATACACAGTATTGTAATAGTACAAAACAATGTTACATGTTAATTAGATATAACATAGAATAATTCAGTGCTCCAAGTCACATTTGCTCTCAGGTCGCAAAATGGCGACCTAAAAAAATTTTTGGTCGCCATTTTAGAATTTTTGGTCGCCATAATAAAATATTTCACTCGCCATAAAAAAATAAATTTTGTGAATAAAACTTCATAATTTAGATAAGGATATGTATTTTGTCTTTATTATATCATAGATTACTTATTTCTGTGACTATAAAAAATTGCTAGGTTGAATGAAATATTTTTATTGAATACTTGTACATGTACCCTTTAATATGGTTGTACAGAAGAACACAGGTAATCTGGTTACAGAAATAAAATATTATCAAATGAAAATACAAGCTTGAAAGCTGTTGAGACAGGACTTTGCCTGCTGTTTGTCATGTTTACTTACTACTACGTACATAACTCATTACACAGTCATTATAAATGTCGCCAAAACACTCTTTATAAACATGACAAGAGGCCCTCGGGCCTTATAGGTCACCTGAGTATCATGTATCAGTGATTATATTTGGTTCGTGTTTTAATCCAAAAGCCATGAAATTCACAAATTTTGAAAGAGGCACCATTGCTTTTCAAAGGGCAGATATCAAAGCATTAATTCATTTTTAGTCAAAGTACCCCCCTGGTACCCCTGACCCCGCAGCCCTGAGAAATTATCTATTTTGAAAGAGGCCCCTTTCTTCATTATAAGGCCAGCATTTTTTTTTTATGTTTAGATTTAGTTATGAACATGAGAATAATAAAGTTCCAGAGGAGAAGGAAATAAAATTTTTTTTGATAAATCAATTATTAACATTGGTACATTCTTTTTTTATGCTATCCTAATAGGCTCCTTACCACTGGACACATAATGCTTACAAATAGGAAAGTAGAACATTTAATTGCTTATTTCATCATCTGCCAGTTTGGGTCAATTACATAAATTTTGTGATGTTGATTAAAATATATTTCAAAATATCTTCATTTCTTTAATATGTGTTATATGAATGTGTAGACATTGTTCTAAAATTTACTTGATGCCTAAAATTATAATTCCTATCATAAAACAGACAGGGAGTATTGGGGAGTAGGGTCAACATTTTTTCAATTAAGTGTAAAATAATTTTTCTGGTTGATACAAATGATACTACATGCCTGTATATATTTGTATATTCTTGCCTTTTAATATTTGATTTTTTTTTTATTTCTTCAGGTTCTTCCTCAAATTTGAATTCACTTCTCCCATAGTTTTATTCATAACACCTGATGCATAAGCAACCCTTTTCTGAGGAATGATGCTTAGACTGTAAGCTATAATAGATACCTAAATAATGTCCCTGGCAATATGCAATAGCTATCACGGGCAGTTAAAAACCTGGGGGAGGAAAATAATTTACAGTTACTTTTGAAACGAATACATAATTATCTCACCATCATGTCATTGTGCAACAAAGTCGTCAGCATTTTATTTGTCTTTTGAACGGGTGAAACGTTTTGAATGGCGCTCTTATCGATGAATTTTACACTCAAGCTCTTCTCAGATCTAGCTTTATTTACCCGCCCTAAAACGAGCGGAAGTGCGAGTTCGTAAATTTGAAATCTCGATCCCGACTCAAATTTGACATCGGAAAGAAAAAAATGTTTTATTTTTTTTCTGAACATTCAAAACCTTGAGCGGAGGGTTTAAAAAACTAAAAAAAAAATCCTGGCCTTAAATATGTAATTAGATCATTAGCATATTAACCAGGGGCAAAGGATAAGATGTTCAAAGAATTCATGCATTTCCCTATATAATCATTAGAGCCCCCCCCCCCCCCCCCCCCCCCCCCTTAAACAAGAACCCCAGACCCTGGGGCCATAAAATTCACAATTTTGGTAGAGGCACACTTGCTTATCATAACTATGTACTTAATTTGTTTATTTAATACCCAGGAGCAGAGAAGAAGATTTTCAAAGAATTCATGTATTTTCACTATATAATCAATAGAGCCCCGCCCTAACACCAGAACCCCTGACCCTGGGGCCATAAAATTCACAATTTTGGTAGAGGCACTCTTGCTCATCATAACTATGTACTTAGTTGGTTTATTTAATACCCAGGAGCAGAGAAGAAGATTTTCAAAGAAATAATGCATTTTCACTACCTTAGCCCCGCCCTAGCACTATAACCCCTGACCATAGGGCCATGAATTTCACAATTTTGGAAGAGGACTCATTGCTGATAACAATCATGCAAACAGTTTGCCTGCTTGTTGTTCAGGAGTAAAGAAGATTTTTAAAGATTGCATAAATTTTAGTGGTTTTGGCCCCACCCCTCAGGCCCCAGGGGGGCAGGGATCATGAAATTCACAATTTTTGTTCCCCTTCACCCATAGATGCTTTTTGCCAAATTTGGTTGAAATTGGTTCAGTGGTTTCAGAGAAGAAGATGAAAATGTTCAAATGTTAACGCACGACACACGACGACGGACGAAAACGGATAGCAATAGGTCACCTGAGTTTACTCAGGTGACCTAATAATACAATCATGATTCATTGTAATATGCAAGCAGTTGATCAAATGCTTCAATAACAAGGTCGGATCTTAAAAAGTGTACGAAGTTTGGATGCCATTCTATCAGGAACATTATTTGACGACGTCTCTGGTTCAGGTTCTATCAAACTTTGTACAGCATGCCATGCTGTCATAACATTACGTGATCTAAGTCCATGCAACGCTTTGTAAAGTGTATTTAAGTATATGTCTTCAAACATTTTCTTGATAGAGAATCTTGACAAATGAAATCTCGATCCCAATCTTAAAAATTGGAAGTTTCCAGCCCAAATTTTCTCAGTCGCAAAAATGCGAGCGTGTTTTCATTTCTAGTCGCAAATTCAATTTTTTGGTCGCAAATGCGACCATTTTAGTCGCAACTTGGAGCACTGTAATTGCTGAATTACAAGTAAAATGTAAAACAAAATAGGATTTATATTAAAAAAAATTGCTTGCCTACGCAAATATTGGCGTGTACAACATAAAGGAAGGACACTGAAAGACACTAGAGTCTGAAAAAAAAATATTTAACCTCCATTTAAAAGAAAAACATGGATTTGGAGAGCCATCCTCCTTTTGCCTGTATAATTTTCTTTTACCTTTCTTTAGAAGAAAACTTTTTTTTCACTGTTTTTCTAAATATAGTGTATGTTTCTGGCAAGTTGTTTGATTAACTTGAGAATTTTCCACTGCAATTTGGAAATGGGTCCTAGCTAGGTCATTAAAATTGGGAATTTAATTTCATTTTTTCACTGATTGGGAAATTATATTACATGGCAATTTTCAACAAAACAAAACAAAAACAAACAAACAAACAAAAAGAAAAAAAAAAGAAACACTCTTGATGTTTAGTATAGCTTATTTGAGCCAAATGCTCAGATGAGCTTTTCTGATTGAGATTTGTGTTTTGTTTTTTGGTATTAACTTAATTGTTATTGTTTTCTTAAACTTCTCACATTTTTTTTTATCTTGGTCATTTTAACTATATTTAGCACAGAATATCTTATGAAAAGGAAATTTAAATTGTTCAAATGAAGGGTCACACCTTCTTCCAATAAAAAAAATTAAGAAAGAATGAAATTTTTTGACAGGTCATTTAAAAAAGACCAGAAAAGATAAAATTTAAATATAAAGCTTCATGACATAGTGTAGATTAAAGTTTGTTCAAATCATGAACCCTTAGGGTAGGGTATGGCATTATGAATGATCAAAATATTACTGGCGTAAGTTGGAACACGTATCAACAAATCTTTTTTTCAGGAACAGCAAACCCTTGATAGGGACGTTAAACAGTATATAATCAATCAATCGATCAGTCAAATCTAAATAAAGGCATTTATACTTTAGTGTACATTCTAATTTGTTCAAATCATGATCACTGGTGTAGGGTTTGGCATCTATTGGTTAATTTAGAGTTATATTGGGGGTACAAATAATTATGAAAAATCTATAAAAATCTTCTCATTACATGTAGCAAAGCCATGATCAGTAAATAATAGATAAACCATACATTTTTGACTGTTTTGTGGTGTATTGTAAATTATACCATGGTTTGGGTTTCACGACCCTGGTTTTAACCTCACGAGACGAAAGACCCTCAGGAATTGGGCCTAAATTCCAACCTAAACAGGGCAGTAACAAATCCCTTAAGCTGTGTGAAACTTTTTTTTTTAGAGATGGAAAAATATATACTGCCTATAGCTAAGAAACATAATTTATTGTGTCCTTCCTGTTACACTGAATTAATAAATAAAAAATCATATCTTGAATTTATATTATGGGTAAAGGGGCTAAAGAATGATTTTTAATATGAATTTTTTTCCATCAAAGACTATTCAACAATTATACTGTGCTTATGAGAAAAAAAATTCTCAAAAATTGTTTATTTTATAGCAATACCCGTCTTTCCTGTTACAGAATCATATTTAGAGGTCCTTTAATATCAAAAATTATCTTTTCATAGTTGAACAAAGAATAAAAAATAAAATATTTACTACAAAGTAATAAAATGAAAATATTATTAAATCTGACAATTTAATAAAAGTCCGCATTTTTATCTGATTTAAGCAAAATTTGTCCGTACTGTTACAATATGTAATGTCTTTCCTGTTACAAAATCACTTTTTATGTTTCAACTAGCAATTAGAAACAATGAATCCTTACTCAAGGTGTATTTTTGTTACTTACTTCAATTTTAATAAAAATCATGCAATAAATTTCTTGGTTAATGATGAGATAGGTCTAAAATCCACATTTTATTTAATGTTAGTCTTTTCTGTTACAAAAATTGTCTTTACTGTTACAAATTAGCACGTAACAGGATGGACATATAACAGGGTAGACAATTGCTCTATATTTGGTCATTATTTTCCTTATTGCTTACCATACAAGTTGATGATGCAGTAGGTTTGAAACAAAATGTTTAAGTTATTTTGTAAAAGAAGCTAAAAATTGTTTCACTCCATTGTTAAAGCTTTATTTCAATGTAACAGTATGGACGTCATTTTTTTCTACTGCGTAAATCGTAGTTATATATTGGACATTTTATTCAAACGTATCAAATTTAAAAAAATTACATTAACAACCTAGTAACATGGAAATGTAGCCAAGGCTAATGGTAAGTATGAAACCCAGAAAAGTTAATTTTAAATATTTCTATTTTCTTGATTTTCATTGGCGTAACAGGAGAGACAAAAACTCGTGGGACACACCTTCTAGTCTTCATATTTACAAGATGAGCTTATTTAAGACAATTTTAGTGTTTTTATGGCATTTATTATGAATAGTTTAAGGCATACAAGGAAAAAAATGAAAAGAAAATGAACAACATATGCCATAAAACACTTTTTAATTCAATGGAAAGGAGTGTGTGACATCACAAAATGTGCTAATTTGAGCTATTATCAAAGCATTTTTTCTTTAAATATATCACACAGCTATAAAATTAATATTGTGCCAACTACAGAATAATGTATTCTAAATAGTGACATGAAAATTTATATGATTTTTACTTCATATACTTTTTTATCGGCTTGTGACCAAAATTTTGGCGATTTTTGATAATGACTCATATAAGTAAAAAATCCTGGTAGAATACCTAGCTAAACAATCGCTGAATCAGCTTAATATATTTTTTAGAGGATCAAATCCTTAATTGTCACATTTTTAAAGATATTTTTAATTAAGCGGACTCTTCTCATTAAGTTTTCATTTAACATTGTCACATTTTTAAGCAGATAAAATATTCTAACCTTTCTTTATTTGACAATCTACTATTTGGAGTTCAATATCTGGCAAAACATTGTGATTTCGGCATTAAATTGATCAAATCATTCGATTGTCACTACTGTAAACAATATCATTTGCCCCCAGAGTTTAAGACTTTTCTCGACTCCCCCGCAAAAGAGCGATAGTAAGTAAGACAACTGAGAGGTACTCATTGGTAGTCGCGATATAAAGTATTGCCAGATGATTTTCAGTTAAACAAAACATGATTTCATATGCTTATTATATGTTTCTGTTTAATTTACCTTCTAAAGTTCCTTCTTCTATAGCTCTACTGGGAATACTTTCAGTTGCAAAACTTTTGTTACCAAATGCATGATGTGACTGTCCATCTTTGAAAGAAATTTGAAAAAAAACAAAGGAAATCAAAGATTATGTAGCTCAACTCGACGAATGTATTGTAATCAGTCTAAGTAAGGCAAATCTCAAATCAAATTTTTCTTAACGGTTAGTATTTATTCTGACAGCAATATTCAGGCAATGTCTTAAAGTTCATTGGGGATTGATCTGTCCAAAAACTTTAACCTGGTCACTTGTTTGGAGAATGTAGGTCAAATCCAGCATCCAGAGCAAGTTTTGATTGTTCATCCTTAGATGCATCATCCATGCAAGTTTGGTCCAGGTAGAGCTTATAGTTACTTGGGAATAACCTAGTCACTCATCTGGAAAATGTAGGTCAGATACAGAATCCAAAGCAAGTCTGGTAGTGTCCATCCCTATATGCATCAGCCATGCAAGTTTGGTCTGGGTAGGGCTTATAATTACTTGGGAATGGACTTGATCCAAAAACTTTAACCTGGTCACTCATCTGGAAAATGTAGGTCAGAACCAGCATCTAAAGCAAGTCTGGTAGTGTCCATCCCTAGATGCATCATCCATACAAGTGTGGTCTGGGTAGGGCTTACATTTACTTGGGAATGGACCTGATCCTAAAACTTTGACCTGGTCACTCATCTAAAAAGTGTAAGTTAGATCCAACATCCAAAGCAAGATTGGTAGTGTCATTTCCTAGATGCATCATCCATGCAAGTTTAGTCCGGGTAGAGCTTGTAGTTACTTGGGAATAGACATGCACCTGCTCACGACTTCGTTGAGGTGAGCTAAAAAGTCATAAGGGATAAATATTTGAAACAGAGATGGCTCTTAAGATACTTGATATAAACATTTTAGAATAGGAATAAACAAGGTTGATGTTTTTTTTTAAAGTATGTCAAATTGTAGGGACAAAGTCATAAAGTATTGATAATCAAAGAAGAAATGAATTTCTTTTTGTTTTTGAGTTTCGTGTTACGATATATTCAAAGTAATTGTTGCATGCATGAGTGATTTGGTGTTTACTATAAATAGTGTTCCAGGCGTGTTTTTGTTCATTGCAAAGTTCGTTACAAGACCTCAAGGACACACATTTCCCTTCCGATCCCCACCCTAAGAATTATGCAACGCATTGTATGTAATCATTATATACATGTACAGTTAAGTTTTCTTGTCCATGTAGGTGTCAATTATTTGTGTCACATAATACATCAATAAAATTTATGATTATTGATATAATTATATAAATGCGACCTTGTAATGAATGCAGCTAACCTAAACTTTTTGTTGCTGTTTTTCAAATTAGTAAAGAAAAGATTTATTTTCGGAGGAGTTTACCAGGGAGAAAATAAAATTCACAACTGAAACATTTTAAAAATTCCCCGGACAAATCATTCTGATCAGATGTTATAATCAATGGTATGTTTTTACATAAAGTCAGTCTCAAAGGTTAAGGTCATAAGGTCAAAGTTCCTGAATGTCAAACTTAGTAAATCACCTTTTTTTCTTTGTGTATACCGTCTGTACAATAAAAATCCACCACCTGCGGCAAAGGCCAAAACAACAAGAACTGCTGCAAATACTATCCCTATAACATAACAATTGTCTCCTCCATCTTCTGTATCTTCTGCAGACCTTAAACACAAGAAAATATACAGATAAATGTAAAATATTGAAGAAAAAATCCTAAATTGACTAAGGCTTCCCGTAAAAAAATATGCTAACTTGGCTACAAACCTTTGTGCTAGGTCAATATGTACGCTATAAGGGCTATATACCTATATCATGACATGTATGACTTTTTGTTTTGTTTTCTGTCAGTTTTTTTTTTATTTGGGGGGGGGGGTAGTTTTGTTCACTTTTTGGTCAAATGTGTGGCAGTACTGGACCAGTTGAAGTTTAGAACTATGATGGACAGTTTTTTTTTTTCATTTGGAATGAAGACTTCTTCATGTACAACATTTTTTTTGTAATAAAAGTATGAAAAAAATAATTTGGCACACTTTCCTTTTAAATGTTATAAAAATTAATGTATACTATTGTTACAGTAGCTTGATCATCATGCATTAAATTGTCATTACATCTACACTTACCCAGTAAGTACAGACCCTGTTTCAGAGACCACAATTGAGGGTTTAACTGTAGTTGGATTTTCTGTTGTTGATTTCTTAGTAAGCTGGTAGCAACCAGGATCTGAAAAAAATATTAAAAATTGTATTGATATCAGATCAAATCTGTAGGAAAAGCATTTCAAAAGAATTTCACTAATCTGTAATCTAAAACTAGGTCTACAAGTTGCTGAATCAAGAATATCAGTACTCTCGTTTAAAGTCATCATTTCATAAGTTCTATGGTATATATATTAATGACCTTGTGTGCAAATACAATTTATCACTAGGTCAAATCTTGACCAACATTCTAAACACTTATTGTTACACGATTATTTACAAACTGAACTGTTTACTGATTTTTCCTGTTATTTCCCAATCATTACCAGGAGCACACAGCGGGTGTGACCGGTCAGCAGGGGATGCTTACACATCCATGGCATCTGATCCCACTCTTATGTTTTGGAAGTCCGTTATTGCTCTGCTCCTGTTTTGTATTGCTTAATGGACTTTTTTTAAGTTTGAATTCTGTTTGTTATATCCATATAATTCATTCTTATTATATACTCACATTTGTATGCTTCATCAGAGGGATATCCAGTTGGACAAGGGTTTTGGGTAAAGCCCGAGCAAAGTGTTCCTAGACTTTGTTGAATTCTGTTTGCACTGTAGCTGTATTCAGTACAATATCCTGCAAAATTGTTTTGAGAGGTGAAAAAGGTGATTTAGATGAAAAAGTTTTATGTGTAACAAATAGACGAATGGATATGAACATAAAGATGAACAACGCAATATATACACAATATCTACTTTTCAAGCAGGGACGGAATATAAAAAAAAGACAAATCAGATCATTTATAAAAAGCACAAACAAGATTTTATTTATCACTGCTGGTGCATGTACAATAATACATGCAACTAGAGCCGAGCTCGTTGCAAAGCAACGAGTAGGTCTTCCGTCCTGTTTGACCGGAAGTAACTTTCATTTAAAAAAAAAATGAGTGATGAAGTCCAAAAATGGGTTAATCCTCCAAATCTATGTTAATTATTGCAAAATTAAGCCATTCATCGGTACTTCCGGTTTGACCGGAAGTGACGACGACAGACGGAAAATTAATATTTAAGCTTCTAGTGACACATGTTACCGAAAAACCTGTCAAAAACGGCAAAAATATGCATTTTTTGACTACTTCTGGTTCAACCGGAAGTGACGTCGCCGGACGTTTTTTGATGACCCCATTAGATAAAGCTTGATATTTTGAACAACTTTGCTTCTTTGATGAATAACAAAATCTCAATACTTTTTGAGATATCTGGAAAAAACTTTTGGCCCCTCTAGGTCCCTTAATTTAGGGGTCAGCCCTTTTTTTCGACATATCATTTGAAAGATCTTCTAATTCTGCACAAATTATGTTCTATATTTTTTAACAAAATATTTTTAATTTAGAAGATAAAAAAAAAAATATGAGTAATTTTTGGTTCTTTTAAGCGTTCTAATTTTTTACCCCTATATAGCGCCATTTTGAATAGAGAAGTCGAAAAACAAAAACCGATGTGCACAACTTCAATCCTTCTAGTATCTAAAATCAGTAGAATTTCTGCTCCAGCTTTAGCCGTCTTTGAGCCTTTGTCTGGAAACGAAAGCCTATAAATTTTCCTTTAAAGGGAAATAACTCAAAACCGGAAGTGGTTTTTTGAAATTTTAGACAACATTCTGATAGAGTTTATTAACGTCTATAACGTCTGAAAATTTGAGCGAAATCCGTTGAGAAATGAGTGAGATATGAGGCCTCAAAGTTGCGGTCTAGGAAGCAGAAGAAAAAAAAGAATAATAATCTTTACCAACAGAATCAGTAGAAGGTCTTCCGTTGGAAACGGAAGACCTTAATAATCATGATCATTTCATTTTCTTTTTTCAGGCATAAGTGCTTAAAAGTATATGAAATAATATATAATTATTAAATAGTAACATACATGTACAAGACACCCCCTCCACTCCAACCCACGCGGGTATGTTAAGGAAGCATATAAGTAATTTCTCTGGGAATTTAGACTTTTTGAAGAAAATTTAGTTTAATAAATTACCAAAACCACTGATAAACGTAAATTGTTATTTACTATTGCATACAGATAAAAGCGTGTCTAACGCAAAGACGTACATCACCGCCACGGCATCACATGACTTCTATTAATAGCGAAATTTTCCGTAATAAAAAGGCATACAGAACAACAATACCCCAGAGTTTGATAATTTCTTTGAGTATGTAATACAGCTGAAAAACATCTATTTTGTCTAAAAAGTGCTGCTAGAATCCAACTTTCTTGTCTGTAAAATATTTATTCCACACATTCGCACGAAACCTTACCCTTTGTTTTGAATTTCATACATATGAATCGAGATTTTTCGTACAACCATGCTTAACTCGGGATTCTAGCAGCACTTTCCAAGTTTGTCAAAACGCAAACTTTCAATCGGTACAAATCGTATGTTTTGAAATATCCAGCTTATTGTTGTTCTGTTGCATTTTTTTGTCAAGAATAACGGACGATAGGCCGATCGGGATACATAACATAGCTGACTGTCTTCGAAAGAGAATATAAGCGATGAAAATTAATTAGCATACCTGTTTAATTAATTAAACTCCATATGAATTTAACACAATATTTCCGATATTTCCTTTTAAACTCCATTTTACGTATCTTTGAACATGCCGTCTTAGTCAAATTCTCTTAACACAACATGATCAATTTCCAAGTTACTCGATGTACACTTATGACGTCATCGGTGGTAGATTTCAATCATAATGACTATTACAGCATAACAAAATAAAACATTTTATTTTTGTTGATGTTTACACGTTTCTAATCATTTTCTAGAGTTAAATTACATCGCTAAATACCAATATTGCGAAAACCTGAGTTCTGAAATTGACGTCATCTTGTCTACTATGACGTCATAATGCAGCACTGATTTAGCCAAGGTAGAATATTTTGTATGCTTCCTTATTCCCCCTGCGCACCCAATCTTTTCTTCACTGACTCCCAAGCCATTTAATGTATACATACCAAACACAATGGTCTTTTTATATACACAAACTTCCAATGTTTCATTGAGATATGGATTGATCACACAGTGGTACACAAACTTGTCAGGTTCACTACACTGGGTGGCAAAAGCTGAACAGTTTTTCCTTCGAGAAGCTTCTATCCATTCTTGCTCACTGGATGGACAGTTTTCAACACTCTGTACAGTGCTTTTAGAAGCAGAACATGAATCAGTGTTGGCTTTTGTTATCTGTAAAATATTATTTAATTTAATGAAAGAAAAAAATTATTAACTAGTTGTTAATTATTTGTTCAATACGGTGCATGTCTTAATTTGCTTAATAATGTTAGGCAGTGAATAGCTTAATAGCTTTCTAGATGACGAAAATGGAGTTGAAATTTACCAAACTATTCTTTGGAGTAATTTTTTTATGAAAGAGGCAGAAAGATGAACTTCTTAAAACCTTACAAACATGCCTGCATATATTCTTGATCATAATATATATAGGAATATATAAATATATGTCAAACAAGCTTTGATCATGCATATGATTCAGCCACCAAGTCTATGCCAAACTCTATATACTAGGAAAATTTGGACTGGATATATACTTATAATATTATATAAGCTTTCAATTGAGATAGCTAGAAAAATGATTATAAAAATACAGAAGAATAAGTTTCATTCGCGAATCTCTGTCTAGTTAGTAGAGTATGCCAGTACATCAAGGATAGTTGAAAATGTGGGATAATGTGCTTAACTGGCAAAGTCTGTTATGCATAAATTATCCCACGTTTTCAACTATTGTTGATGTCCTCATACTCCACTAACTAGACAGTGAATCCTTATACAATTTGTATTTCCATTTCATTGTAAAATAAAATTGTAAAATTAATTCATATTTAAAAAATGTAGACCAATAGATTTAAATTCCATGAGGTTTTCCATGTCAATATATAGTCCCTTCCCAGTGACGTCAAACACAAAGACAGCCGCGTGAGATTTATATGCATAACAGGCCTCCTTACCTGTATCTCCTCACCTATCACCTAGCAAAATTTACATTGTGGTGGAATGATCAAGAAATCAACTGTACAGTAGGAACTTTCAAAGAGGTATCACAGAGAAATCAAGAGAAATTGAAATATAATAAGTATTGTACTGAAAAAACAACTTATTAGCTGTATTATCAATTATTAACAGACTTTATGAAGAGAAAATAACACAATGCACTATATCAATATGATATAATATAAGTATAGAAAACTGACCTAAATTGTTCGCCATAAATAAGAATTATGCAAAATATACAGAGTGTTTTATATACTGCAATGACATTCAATGTACATGATATTAAAACACATATATATCAATTTATGATCACAAATTGAAAATAGCAATAGAAATTTTAGCATTGATATTTAATATGCGAGAAAAAAAGTTAAATGTTTTATTTATCCTTAAACTGCATAAACCTATTGGGATTACAATAGAGAGGGTTGACCCTTTTGATAATTAAGTAATGGAATTTTTTTCTGTTCTTCTTCTTTATCATGCTTATTGTATTTAAATATTTCATATTAATTTTAATATCCTCTCTGCATTGTCGTTAAAGTTTAGGTGATTAAACTCATTGTTTATGTCAAGTCTTAATGTATATTAGTACGTAGAAAGGACAGGTATCCGGATTGATTGACAGTAAAGTGAACAAAATTGTACTGCATAGCTCAGTACAATCTAGAAATCTTTGAATGGCACGCATGTTTTAAAGGGTTGCGGTAAGAAACATTCCTCACAAAATACATTTCAGGGAAAAAAATAGGCTATGGTACAGTAGGCTAAGACACAATGTGCTGGTAAAAATAAACTTAAAATTTTTCTAAGTAATCTTATATCTGTTTCATAGATTATGCTTATATCACCTGTGCCATTATGAAAGGTCACATGGTTAACTGACTAATGGCTTAATTTCAACATTTGATATGTTCCAGGGTTTAAATAACTTTCAGAAGGAAATTGAATACCTTCACTTATTTTTTTTTTTTTACCTATTTTTGACGTAGAAAAAAAACTAAAGTGGTTTCATCATTTTAAGCATGTGGACTTTCAACTCATTACATAGATTATTTATTTTTGGTCCCTCTCAAATACTCCATAATCATGATAATCCTAATTATTATATAAAAAAAAAATGACCATACCTTTCCCTTTTCAGGATCTAAAAATTTAAATGTGCATATCAGATACACAACTATGGATGACATGGCCTTCACGGACTTGATAAGAATGACTCTGATCATGCATTATGATACCAATAAATATTGGCAATGAAAGTGCATTCATGCATAAAATTAAGTAATTGTGCACTACCCATATGTGATTCAACTCAGAATGTTAATTCTTGATTATATATACTGGTACTGATACAATGTACCAGCATGATACTACCATTTCATAAATATTAACTAATCAATTTCTGTTAGTGCTACATCATGATATCATTACTGTAATAAAATATGTTCAATATACAGTAAAACATGCTTATATCAAATTTCCATTCCCCTTAACATTTAAAAATATATTAAACATTAACCAGATACATGTACGCTTAATGATGAATAGCTGCAGATCTGTAGTGTTATGGTTTTATAATTTTTTCTTTGACCATAAAGCTACAGACACCATAATGCAAAAAAGATGCAATTTACAGCACAATATTTTTGGGGAAGAATTTTTAGCACTTTCTAGCATTGGTCTACCTTTCACTCCCTAATTCTAGACACATTCTGTAGGCAATATGTATATTTTATCCACCTCCCAACCATTTATATAGTTGTCTCTACTGTACAGGAAATAACTCGCATGAAATGAATTTTCAGCAATCTAGCTGGACATTATTAAAAAATGTGCCTTGAATTAGGGAGTGAAAGGTAGTTAAGTGACCGATGCTGGAAAGTGGAGAAATATTCCCCAAAAATGCGCAAAAAATATTGCATCGTAAATTGCACCTTCTTTGCATTACGGGATCTGTACCCATACAAAAAAAAGGTACATATAGGCATACCTTTTTTGTGCCTTTTCTGTGCCTAATGTGTACCTACTATTATAGGTACAGAAAAGGCATACCTATTCTGTACCAAAAATGAACTTAATTTTTTTCTAGTGTACCTAAAATGTACCTAATTTGGACTTTGTCATTTTACAGTGTACCTGAAATGTGCCTACTTTAGACTTTGTCATTTTTCAGTGTACCTAAAATGTACCTAATTTGGACTTTGTCATTTTACAGTGTGCCTGAAATGTGCCTACTTTAGACTTTGTTATTTTTCAGTGTGCCTAGAATGTACCTATTTTGGACTTAGATATTTTCCATCTTACCTACTATGAACTTTGTCATTTTTCAGTGTGCCAGAAATGTACCTATGTTGAACTTAAATATTTTCCAGTGTGCATAAAATGTACCTACTTTGGACTCAGTCATTTTTCAAAGTGCCTGAATTTAAATACTTTTTTAGATGACTGGTTCTTTGTATCTGGGTGGGGGTGGGGTGGGGGATGGGGGGTGGGGTTGAATTATCATTCAACAATTTGTGCATTTAATTTTTAATAACATTATACTTCAGATTTCACATCATTATTTCAAGTCCTCAGTATAATATATAGCGGTGTTGTGGAAAGAAAAAATGGGGAGGGGTGATAACATTGTTACTCTCAAATGCCAAATATGTAATTATCATTTATTCAATTAATCTTCTTACGGAAAATAAAAGGTAAAGATCCATTTCTGTTCTTAAAATATGCACTAGTTTGTCTTAAAGAGTGTCAGTTCTTAGTAACTTTGATTAACATTCTCTAAGACATAGGGGATTGTCTTATAAAGTTTAACACTATACAATTATATTGACCATTAACACCCCCCACTACACACACACTTGCTAAATTATTATTATTATTATTTTTTTTTACATGTCATTTTATCAAGTGTTTGCATTTATAAAACTAATTCTGCAATACTGTGAAATATGTCAATTAGAGACAGGAAATCACTTTCCGCTTGAACGCATACAATACACATGCAGGTAATCCACAGAGAGATCAGGTTTAGTCCATGCACCTAGTGAAGTGGACACAAAATCATGTAACCAACAGCCAAATCTGCTTAGTTACGATGCTTCTCTGTATTATTCTTGCATAATTATTCTTTAATTTCTTTTGCTCTTAAAGAATTTAATGATAAATGAATGTTTTAACTATGTGAATAAACCGATAAACTATTAAGATATAAAACGTTTTAAAAACTAAATACATTTTTTTTTTTCAAAACCAGGTTTGCTAGCAAACCCCTGTAGTTGTAACAGATACAACTTTTTATTATAAATTATCAGTAATAAAATTTATTTGCACATCTCTATGTCCAGCAGAGGTCCCATTACGCGATCACTGCATCTCTCTCTCTTTCTCTCTCTCTCTCGTACATTTTGTAACTACAAAAATGTTTGGGATGTTTAGATTAATTTTATAGGCTGAGAATTTATATCCATTAGACCAGTTTCTGGTGTATTTTGAAATAGACTTTGTTTATCTTTGAATGCAAAACGATGTCGATTTCCTCAGGTGTTAATACCGGATGACCTTCACCCTGCAGAAATTGTTCGTGTATCACATGTAGTTCTCCACAAACATGACAAAACGGTGATTTCATTAGATTTTTCAGCTCAACATGAATGGGTTAAATACAGAAGAATATTAATTACAGAATGAAATAAATAGAGATGCTTTAACTTTTACCGGTAGCAGGGACCTATATACTGGTAGTATATAGGTCTCTGCCGGTAGTTGGGCAGTAGCAGTAAAAAGAAAAAAAGTGTACATTTACAGAAATTTCATACAAATAATAGCCCCCAAGATGCACAAAATACAGGTGCTTATCATTTATAATTATTCACAAACTAGGCATTTATGGATTGTATACCTGTTATAATTTACATGATGTTCCATGTATACATGTATTTCGATGTTTGTATCACTCTCTGGTGTCAGTTACATTAATTAAGATTTTAGTTGAAATCTAACATGTAAGAAAATTATGAATAATTAAAAAAAAAATAGGGGGCCTAATCAATTTGAGAGTGATTTGTTACGTAAACAAACACAAAATAGTAATGGCGGTCAAGATGGCGGTTCAATTATTTGCCCAAAATAGCCACGCTAAATTTCAAGGATTTCATCGCAATCGGCTTTCAGTTTAAGTTGGGGCTTCATTAAATAATTGTTAAATGTTCATTGTTATAATTATAAATTGTTTACACGAAATATTTTATGAATAATTTAATAAATTTTAATAAAAACACGTGACTCCAGCGAAGTCTACGATTGGTCAGTGGAGAGCGCGGACATTTCTGAGACGTTTTGAAAATTTGCCGAGATGAAAGCCTAAAACAGAAATCGGAGAATTATAGTTCGGTAAGTCTTTATTTTAGTGTAAATTTTCATGCTGCTTGTTGTTAGTGTATTTGTGCACGTAAAGAATGCATTAGAATGTGAATATCAAGTGTAAATTTTACGAAATTCTAGGTAATTGTACCGTAGATTTTTAGTTTGTTTTGATTCAAGATGGCCGTGTAGCCAGTGCTACAGCCTACACATGAAGTGAAGACATATAAATAATAATTATTTTGTTTAACCTGATGTGTAACAATAAGACATTAAAAGTGTTTCACAGTTTCAGAGTCTTTTTAAAAAATAATTAACGTGTCAATATCGCGGGAACAGGTTATGTACAGTAGCCTCTGCATGAGCATGGCGATAATAACAAACAGAAATTTAAATGATCAGTATGAAAATTTAATCATTGGCACATGAAATTTGAAATATAAAGTAAAGATCTCTATATAAAAAAAGGGGGGGGGGGGGATTTCTAACATGTCTTAATTTAAAGTATCAAAATTACAGCATTTATAAAACATAATATAACAAAATTAACTGATTTGAATTTATGTTATAAGTTTACATAAAATCATTTAAACCCCTATCTCTCTACTTGGTTCATGCCAGGAAAAAGGGGGGGGGGGGGTTATGATACACATCATTTATTTCAGAGTGACAATGTTTCTGCTTTCAGTATTATATTTAAAAAAAAATTATGTATACAAATTAGTGTAAACTTTGTTAATAATAATGTCACATAATTTCATGAACAAACTTTCTTTTTCAGCAAAATTCTTGTCCCCTGTAGTCATTCTAAACTTGGGGGAAATGCATAAAGACTATAACTCTGTCAGTAAGTATGAAATCTAATCTGATTTTTTTATTATTAAAAATATAAATATAGTAAAATTAATTACCACTTTTCAAACTCCATTGTAAATTTTAGAAATTTCAGATGGAGATCATAACAGGGTAAGGGGGGGGGGATGGGTGTCCAAATCTGACACTTTTAATTGATTAAGTATATATACATTTAATAACATAATATATAGTAATACATAATGCAAGTAAGAAGGAAGTTCCAGACTCCCCGGACCCCTCCCTCCCCTTCCCAATTCAGGCATTGGATTTAATATTTTTGAAAATAATTTCAAATTGAAGACTCAAGAGCAACAACTTTTTCAGAATTGAAGGGAATGGCATGAAAGAAGAAAGAAGGAATTGCATGGTACATTCAAATGGAGGATCAGTTTTTATAAGGAGTCCAGATGAAAATCGCAACTGTACAGCAATGAGTAATTACCCTGGTAAAAGGTCTATTACTGTGCAGAAAATTCTGTGGTGCCAATTGGGTAAAAACTCTATGAAAGAAATGAACATTACATGAATTGCACATGCAGCAAGTGAATAATGTGTGGCCAAAAAAAAGGACATGAAATGGAGTATACTTTCAATACTTTTACGGTGTCTTAGTGTATTTAAATTACATTAATTATGTTTTGTATATGCTGAAAAGGTATGCTTATTTTTTTTCTTGCAAAAAATGATATAAAATATCATTATTTTGTTAAAGGTAACAATATTAATTTTTTTTTAAATATAGGAGATTTGTCATATATAGATTCCGTTTATAGAGAGGATTTAAAATAGTTATTTTTCATATATATTTTCATATAGCATCATATAATAAATTTTTACTTGTTTTTACTTGTACCTGATATTATTGTTTAATTCTTCCTTAATATAGTCCTGCCCCATTCACAAGGAATGATAAGTATGTATTTTTCATGTAAGGCCAAAAATTTAAAAAAATTTGATCATGTTGATGGAGAAAGAAATTTTAAACTCCAGGGTTTTGTGGTTGATTTGTCAACAAAAGCCCATTTTTTGATATGCCTAAAATGTACCTTTTTGTATAGTTATGCGGTGTGCCAATATTGTGCTTTTTTAGTACCTAAAATGTGCCTATTAATGATTTTGGTACAACATAGGTACCTTGTAGGTATACTTTTGGTATACCTCTGGCATACTTTTGGCACAGCCTTGAAGGTTCCTAATAGATTGATATGTAGGCACTTTTTAGGTATGCCTGGAATGTACCTACTGGTCTAGTTAGATGATGTGCCAATATTGTGCTTTTTTAGTACCTTAAATGTGCCTATTAATGCTTTTGGTACAATATAGGTACCTTGTAGGTATACTTTTGGTATACCTCTGGCATACTTTTGGCACAGCCTTGAAGGTTCCTAATAGATTGATATGTAGGCACTTTTTAGGTATGCCTGGAATGTACCTACTGGTCTAGTTAGATGATGTGCCAATATTGTGCTTTTTTAGTACCTAAAATGTGCCTATTAATGCTTTTGGTACAATATAGGTACCTTGTAGGTATACTTTTGGTATACCTCTGGCATACTTTTGGCACAACCTTGAAAGTACCTAATAGATTGATATGTAGGCACCTTTTAGGTATACCTAAAATGTACCTATCTGACTCTTAGAATTATATGCCATACTATGCATAGGCATACTTTAGGTATGCCTCACTGCTCAATCTAATGTTTTATGTGTGCCTAAAATGTACCTATATGTGAAATAGAAAAAAAAAATGAATCATTGAAAAGTATACCTTTAGTATGCCTTTTTTGTACCAATTTGCTACCTATACTTGAAGAAGTGGTTCCAAACTTGTATACTTTAGGTATACCTTTTTTGTGCCTATATTTATCAAGAATAGGCATGCCTAATCTGTACCTTTTTTTGGTATGGGTAGCCTTATGGGTAAAGGCAAATATATAAAACCATAATGCTACAGATCTGCAGCTAAATGAAGCAAAATTGTCCATCCCTGGTGTTAGAAGTGTGTTTTACTGTATTACAATGTTTTTTTTAATGTAGATAATTAAATTTTAATTTTCAGTCAAACAAACGCCACTCACTCAGTGTCCAACAAAATTCTAAATTCTAAGGATACATCTGTATATACAGCATATTTGAAAAATAAGCTGAATGTAAAATTATTAAAAATACTTCACACTTCTTAATTTTATTATGGAAAACCTGCAGTTAGAATAAATAAATTCACAATATTAATTTTGTTAAAAAAAACATGAAGATGGTTAACTTTAATCAGCATTATTAAAGTAAAAGGAAGATATAATATTCCTTATCAGTAAAAATTTACCTAATTCTTTTTTAATTTGGGCAATCAGATGTCAAAATGATATGAAGAAAGGACATACCTCTAACTTTAGAAGAATGAGCACAAAGGCTGCTAATGACCCTGCAACAAATAATCAATATCAGTTTAATTTTTAAAGTTGTTCCAGTTACATGTAGGTGTTTTCTTTAAAATATAGGTTAGGAATACATATATGCAATGGAACTTGTTTCATTAAATGTTATCTTTCCAACATGAATATTGAACAAAGGATTAAGCAATACAAAATTTGAAGTGAACAATTTTATAAAATTATCAGTTCTAAACTCTTTTGGTTAATAAAATAAGATGTTACAGTACTTTTTATTTCAAAAATTTAGTCTTAAGAATTTTTTTTATTATTCACGCATATAAATTACTTTCTATAACACGTGTATACATAGGCCTAACAAAATAACACGTAATTTTAGGGTTCCAATCAGTCATCTCGATCAGCAGTTTAAAAAAAGTAAAATCTGAACCCCCTAGGCGTAAACTTGTAAAACAAAACGAAAGTAGGAATGGCATCGATGCAGAAATTCCTAAAGACCTAAATGTACATAAAAAAGAATTCAGTGATAAAACACTCTGCTTCCCCAATTTTCTACAATATATAGATTCAAATATGCTTAAAGTCTGTTTACGATTTGTCCTCAAACCTAGGATTTTCATTTTTTCTGCATAATTAATGTGCTTCCGCAAAGTACATGCGGACGCAGCGGAGTAAAGACGGGCGGGGATTAGCCTGGTTCCCTGTCCCTGTTTTGCTTCATATACTCCGCGTCACTCCTGCCTTGGCAAGGATGAGACAGGGGACCAGGCTAGGCGGGGATGCGTCGAATTACCCAAAAAGACCCTAAAGAACCGAAAAGGGCCCAAAAGGAAATCAAAAGGACTCAGAATGAATATATCATGAAATACTGCATGAAAAATAATAATTTAAATAAAATCATCATTTTTTTTAATATTTTAAGTTAACATTAAAAATAAACTTAGCAAAACATTAATCTTTTATATTGTTGCAACTTTGGAAAATAACATAGCCTTATTTATATGCATTGACTGTGTATATCTTATAGAAGCAAACCAAACATTAAAACCGGTCAGATGTGCTTTGTTTTATTTTTGCTGAAAATAAAAAAAGTATTATTATATTTCTCCTTCTATTTTACCATATCTTACTACATGATATTTAATGAAGAAATAATTAAGTTTTAATTTTATAACATGTTCTAGGCATATATGATTTCGGGGTGGGGTTGACTAGTTTTTCTGTTCTTGGGATTTTCCCCTTTATTTTTCTATGTAAAACCCTGATCCACAATTGTGGCCCCACCCTACCCTTTGGGGTTATGCATGCCAAGAAAACCTTAGCATTCTCTCCGTATAGCAAACTCAATAAAAGCCGAATAAACATTAATCTGTGATTCTTCCCCTGGGAGACGTGCGGAAGCAATTAATATCCGCAGATTTGAGGGAGGGATCTTAGAATTTACTGGGTTTAAATTATAGGTAGAATACTAGTTATTTAGAAGCCTTTACCCCCACCCCATCCCTGCCTTTTTCGGGGGGGGGGGAGGGGGGGGGGTGAAATTAATCATCGTAATTAAAAGTAATTCTACAATAAAATAAGCTGCCTTTCAATTTTTTTACGTAATTCAATTTCAAAATATTTTTTCTCAGTACCATGGAATCAATTGACATCGGGCAGTTGTGGAAGTACCGCGTCGAAATATAGATAAAAGAGTACCTAATTCCCGGAAGTTTACATCATTTCCTGGTTGAACAAGATGGAGACGAGTACTGAATGGGTAGACGTTACCCGATTGGCTATGTAAACATTTTCATTTTAAAGTGAATATTTTCTTTTGATTTTTTTCCTTATTTTCTTCAGTCCAACTTTTTTAATATAAAGTTTGGTACCAGTGCCTCTGGCATTTTACGTATTTTGTAACTAAAGATTTTTGACAGGAACTTTTTGGGGTATTAATATGTAATACATCCTGGGGGTAGAAGTTTATTTTTTCTTTAACTAAGACAGCTAAAAACCTAGGATCCACCCCCAGAAGTCTGCTGCCGTAAATTGTCTTGCTGGCGTTTTGGGAATATGGGTGATTTGCATCAATTACACTTTTATTGACTCCATCGCTGTGGAAAACCGGCCGAGATTTCTTGGCATGATTTGAACAAATTTAATTCTACACTACACGAAAATGCTTCCACATAAATACTTGTATCACTAATCATGGCTTTAATTGCTATAATAATTCTTGATAAGAAGATTTTAAAAATATATATTATGTTAATGTAAAACTTGGATCCCCCATTGTGGCACCATCATATATCCCTGGGGGTTATGGTTTAAACAAACTAGAATCAACACTACCTGAGGATGATTCCATATAATGGCTTTGAAATACTTGAGAAGAAGATTTGAATAGATATTGCTAATATTCCTATGTAAAACGTTGATTAGCCATTTTGGTCCCATCCTAGCCCCAGTAATCTTGATTTGAACAAACTGGAATCTACACTACCTGAGGATGATTTCACATGAGGCCTTGTGCTTCTTGAGAAGTTTTTTAAAAGTCGTCATTAATTTTTCATTAATTCACAGGGGCGTAGCAACAGGGGGGGGGGGAGCTGACCCCCCTTTTTTTCCTAACCTTACTTATACTATTGGAAATTTTAATTGAAAACCTGGTTGCCGCCCCCCCCCCCCCCCCCACTTGTAAAATGTAGTATTAGAATTGGTACTGAAAGTAGTTGACACTGAAAAAGTTAACACCCCCCCCCCCCCAAAAAAAAAATAGGATATTCGACTTTGGAACCTTTTCCTTTTTTCAGGTAAGTAAAAAAAAATTTCACTGGCTGCCCCCCACTTTCAAAAACGATGCTACGACACTGATTCATAATTATCTCCCTTGGAAGTCGACTGTGCTTTATATTTGAACAAACTTAAATCCCCTTTACCTAAGGATGCTTTGTGGCAAGTTTGGTTGAAATTGACCCAGTGGTCCTTGAGAAGAAGATGAAAATGTGAAAAGTTGACGACGACAACGCCGACCAGACTATGTCAGACAAAGAAAAAAAAACCGACAAATTTTGATCAGAAAACCTCACTTGAGCCTTCGGCTCAGGTGAGCTAAAAAAAACAAGATGTACACATGTGTTTGTGAAACACGTTATGCGCCCGGCGCCAACAACGTTAGAAAAACTATTCTAAGCATATACAGAGTGTAGGTCACAGTCAAGGTCACAAGGTCATTGACCTTTATTGCAGCCCGGAGGACCGGGCTGCTCTATACATATAAGTTTAAGTGTTGGTGTATGGGGATTGGGTGGGAGTAGTTATGTAGAATTAAAGATTTTCTAAACATTGAAAAGATTGTTAATCAGAATGTTCTTTCCGTTTATAAATTACGAGATACATAATATATTTACTTCTATAAAGTGAATCTGTAAAAATA